GTTCCGTAAATCCTCGAAATCGAAACGGGGAAACGGGCTAAACTGGACCTCGACCAGCACCAACGGAGTGCAAACGTTTCTTATTATATTATTCATGTTTTCATGAATTTTCATTCCCAGGATTATCACCGGTTATCGCGGTGTTACACGGGAGCACTTGTCCCTCCCTCGTCTAGACCCACTTCCGGCCAGTCAGAAAAAAAAACAAAATGAATTTTTCATTAAGAATGGCCGCGAGTGTGAACCCTGTGCGCGCAAGAAGGACAGAAAAATGGAAAGCCAGCGGTCGTGAACCGTGAAATTTTCCGAGGGAGGAGAGAACGGGTTGGGCGGTGGTCGAGTCGAGCTTGACGTCAGCGGACAGGCCGTTCTTGCACACCGTTCTGACGTCGCAAGGAAGAAAATGGGGACGAAATATGACGGAACTGTGATTGGATGAACGATAGTGCGACAGCATGTGTTGCAGGATTGTGAAAAATTTCGCTATTCTACTGGTAGATATGTTTAAAATTTCTTTTTAATTCGGATTACCTTCGTGGAGAATTCTTGGTTTTTATATTTCAAATTGACAATATTCGAAACATTAGGGGGGTTCCAATTTACAGTTCTGGACACTGGTAGGGTGGATACACCAGTAAATGAACATAGACCAGTGAATGAACATTATATATAAGATCGAGTAAATTAAGTTATTAAAATAAGCAAATTATTAAACATTGACTTTTTTCATATTCGAAAAATTTTTGTGCCACTGGTTGCAAATCATTATGCAGTTAATATTGTTCATTCGCTGACGAAATCTGCATTTTTTTCTTTTTAATTTAATTAATTACGTTATTTAGTTACAATTGCACAAAATTTTGTTTTCTGTACTACGGATTTTAATGTGTTAATTACTTAATATCGTGAGTGGCTTCCCAACCCTTCGAATGTAAACAGAAACACACATATTGATTGGGTTTACAAGTACATTAATTCAAGGTCGTTCATTCACAAAATATTGATTGGTCTACAAGTGCATAATCAAGGTTGCACCTATACAAATGATCATTTGTAAATAAGTGTACGTCGATCTATGATTCACAGATATGAGTTTAGCATGAAAGTAACACGAAACATATTTAATAAATCAGAAAATAAGCTTTCGTTCTATCATTTGAAAGGGTTGATTTCTGGGCCTCCGTTAATTAGACATTTTTTACTCCTCTCGGTACTTACTTAAGCCCCTAAAGTCCTCGACCCTCTTTTATCACCCTGTACATTATCACCGACATAATAAAACCTCCCCCAGAAAACATATAAATTTCTGTCGAGCGTTCTCATATTCATAAATAAGTGTCTAAAATTTCGAATTTGCTGACGCTCTCTTTAAGTTTCCTCTCTCTTTCTCTATTATCCCCCGCAAGTCGCCAGAAGATTAAGGACGCCTCTCCATAAATCGCGACGATTTTCCACGAGCCGGGCTCGTTAAAAGCGGCCAACGTGGGGGATGTTTTGCAGTCCACGGGTGCCACGCAACGGCTTTTTCCCGCGCTTTCATAAATCCCCGTCCGAACCGCCGCTCGTTATTCCGTGTGTTTGCATGGCGAACGGTTCTAACGGCCGCGCACCCTTCCGTTCCCTTTCCAATCTTCTTGGCTAACACGGAGAAAAAAAGTGAGGTCCAGCAAAAGGGCAGAGATTAAACGAGAAACAGAAAGAGAAATGGAACTTCGTTGAGCGTTAATTGTTTCACGAGTAACTCTCCGAGTTAAGGACCACCTGCTCGATATAACTAGACGTTTAATAGGTCTGATTACGGTGTTTGATCGTCTCCAGGTGCGCAAGAAATATACGGGCCTTTGACCCTCGCGCGATGGAACAAGGGGCGAGGATAAAGTGGAGTAGAAGATTTTTACGGGCGGAGGCTTCCGGTCCCGTGGAATGCGCCAGGTCCAATTTTCTTGAGAGCAGACACCCCTATCCACGTACGAAATTGTGTTTGATTTATTTGTTTCGGGGAGGATCGATGGCTTTCTGGATTCTTCCGGAAACGCAGGTGTGACTGATCCGTGTGGAAATAGAACTGACGGAACTGTGGGTGTTTACAACTGTTTTCAATATAATAAACTAAATAATATCTGAATGTTATTAATAGACTGCGGATGTTTATGCAATTATACAAGTTTTGACAGTAATATAAAAAAAACTGTATTTTACAGAAATTTCTTTTCTATACGATGGGATTGAATATCCATTTTAAAAACATAACGGTGTCCTTGAAATGTCGGGAAATAGAATGATTGAGGGAGAATTCTCTTCGTCGTTACGTGTGCCCCTTGAAATGGAGCAACTTTGTCCTGAAAAGCTTTTTCATACAACGATATATAAGGCAGGTATTTAAGTGATCCTGTGTAACTGGTCCAGTCTGTATAGAACACGAAGGAAATACTTTGTAAAAAATTAACAAGGTGTAAGAAACACGCAATAAAAGCGTCGATTGCTTTATATGAAGCTTTCTAGAGAATTATAGCGTATTCCCAGTCCACCAACCAACGTGTTGAATCTCAAGCTTCTTCCATCGCATGCTGCTGACTGGCAAGTTCCGAGGTATTATAGAATCCCGTATAGATATTGATAATCTCGGGAACAGTGGAGGAGTCACGTCGCTGCCATAAACTCGATCCACGCCGACCTCTTTAATCCCGTCCGTTACCTCCACGTGGATTCATTATTTCTCCAGTAGACAGTCCAGAGACGCCGCAAATAGGAGTCTCTGAAACAGAAGACGATGGAATCTAACGCGATACCGGTGGATTATGATTCATTAGAATAGTATGTACCTGGTTTATCACGAGCTAACTTGGTATTCTACCCATGACGGATTCCATTGTGATGGAATCTGCTGTGATCGTAGAACTGTTACAAGAGAAGATCGCTTCGAATTTAACGTCCACTTCCTGCCTAAAATCTTAGTACCTAACTATTTAATAGTAGAATATTAGAAGTAGTACAAAATCATGGAATTGAACAACGTTATCACTAGACTACGGAAGTTTGCGCAAATTCACAATCCCAAATACTAATACTTAAAAATAAAAATGTGACAGAATTCTGGATTCTGTGGTAGATGCTTTACTACGTTCATAGTACCACACAAATAGTATTATACATCATTGATATCCTAATTTCATTGCATTTTCCAATTATTCAATTCGAAATATTCGAGTACAGCATACTATTCGAAGTATTCTAATTCTCTGAGTAAATTATTCGCATTCGAAATATTCGAGTACACCGTACTATTCGAAGTATTCTAATTCTCTGAGTAAATTATTCGCATTCGACATATTCGAGTACACCGTATTATTCGAAGTATTCTAATTCTCTGAGTAAATTATTCGCATTCGAAATATTCGAGTTCACCGTACTATTCGAAGTATTCTAATTCTCTGAGTAAATTATTCGCATTCGAAATATTCGAGTACACCGTACTATTCGAATTATTCTAATTCTCTGAGTAAATTATTCGCATTCGAAATATTCGAGTACACCGTACTATTCGAATTATTCTATTTCTCTGAGTAAATTATTCGCATTCGAAATATTCGAGTACACCGTACTATTCGAAGTATTCTAATTCTCTGAGTAAATTATTCGCATTCGAAATATTCGAGTACACCGTACCATTCGAAGTATTCTAATTCTCTGAGTAAATTATTCGTATTCGAATATTTCGAATATCCGAATACATACAATTCTACTTACGCCACTATTTCAGAAACACCTTATACATTTAGTACACTTTCTACACGATCTTGCAGTCATCGAATTTAGGCGTTACGAAGATCTCGTTCGCAATGGCGTCCCGTAAACGAATCAACGCCGCCGCAGTCGTCCCGTCGACATCATCGTTAACGTTACCAACTGTCGTTCATAATTCGAATGCAAATGGGGAATATGAAACGCGCGCCAGGAGTTACCATCGCGAAATCGAACATTTCCGTGTTCAGGGGCGGCGGCCCGTTCAGTTCCAAGAGTGAATTCGCGTGGGGAGCTGGCCGGCCATAAATTAAATTGAATTAAACTCTAACGTGCGCGCACACGTATCCAACGTTCGCGGTCGTGTGCACCGCCCCTCGATCGGAGCCACGCTGTCACGTACACACGAGGCGCAGCGCAACCCAGTTCCACCCTGGCCCCTCTTGCTTCGTGTCGTCCGTGTCCGCGCGTGACCGTAAAAGTATTACGGCTCCTCGGCCCCTCTGGGAATCTCGAACTTTCGCGCGGGGCTACAGTTCGTTCAGAAATCGGCTCCGCCTGGTCTCCAGGCGACACCAGCTTCCAAACGAACTTCATGGAAAATTCCTAATAAAACTACCTTGAACCGAATGATCATCAATTGATTCCAAGTCTATCGTACCTTGTCCTTCCATACGGATTCCACGTAGAACTTGTAATTTCGAACTTGGATCATAACTTTCGAATCCATGGAACTAGAGAATAATTTACTGGGGCTCGAAGGTCCAGGTACGGTCTATCAATTCCGATTCTCGTCCCTTCAGGAATTAGAGTAACTTCGACAGGCAGCTATCGCAGGCAATATTCTCATATAGAGGAAATAGAACCAGTTGATAATTTGCAGAGGAATACAGTAAATCATCCATGAGTGTTCGAAGGCTTCTCGGTAGTAACAAGTACAGGTCCTCAGGCGTAACGTTGATTTTTTAATAAGCTGTCGCGCAGTAATAGACCGTAGAACACTCATCAATCATTTACTACAGATACAACTGCTAAACTGTGCGTCAAAAGACTAGGAAAATAGGGTACAGTTCTGGTTAGCTCGTTCGTAAGGTGAAAATACACGACCTTCGCGCGGTTTTTAATCATCAGGGCCGAAATAGACGTCAGATGTATTAGATCGTCCGTCCCCTGAAGCCGAGTATCGCGACAAAATATCAAACGATAAATTGTTTCGATTCCCCTCCCCCCAAACGGGGCAGAAAACAATAGGGACCGGCATGACAAAGGGTCCATTCAACGCGCGTGTTTCCTTTCTGTTCCAGCTTTCAGAGGACATCGGCTACGTCCTTTATTCCGCCCTCGGCAGCTTCTACATACCATCGTGCATCATGGTGTTCGTGTACATACGCATATACTTCGCGGCGAAGGCACGGGCGCGTCGCGGCATCAGGAAACAGCCGCGGCGACGGCCGCCTGTGCAACCGGAATCGCCGGACGTCAGACAGACCAGCTTCACCCACAGCACACCGGCGATCGAGACGAAGAAACCGGCCAGCTCGGTTATGGAGAACGTCGCCACCATCGAGAACCAGCCCGTTCAGATACCAATCGTCACTTGCGACTTCGCCAGTGACGTCAGCACGTCCGAGGCCGATCCTGGCGGAGGGAACAGCATACCAATGGAAGAGAAGGATACATTGAAGGTTCGTCACACGATTATTTCGTCCAATATCGATGGTCGACCATTTTTAAAAAATCTACTTTTTTGTTCATGTTTATCTGTATGTGTTGACGCCTTAATGCAAGCGTCAGTTTATCCTAATAATTTTTTGTTTGTACGTGAGAACCGTATTTGTGTCGTGCGGAACGTCATTCCTTGTGGTTTAGGGGGTTCGTGGACATTAAAATATCTAAGTGTCTGCTAATTGTGGTAACGTGGGACAAACAGCATCTTGTTTAGCAAAGAACAAGCTACAATTACTCTCGTATACACTTTCATCTCAACCCTAATTTTAGTAGCCAAATTTTGAGTATAGTTAGCAGGGGTGATTATTAAGTGACACTTTGAACGATACGCCACTATTGTCGATCAATTGTTTATCTTGTGTCAGAAATCTTGTACATTATTTACTTTCATATATGGCTTTTGAAAGAGCTTATCCTTGGACAAACATACAGAATTTTATTTTTCCTCTCTTTCTAAGAAATTGATACAGGAATCTATAGTGTACGTAACGTTTTTGGATCAGAATATCCTTCGACGTCTACCAAAGAATTTCGTCGAATAAAAGATTCCAATTTAAAGTAAGTCCATAGACATAGTAACACACCCGTCGCCTCATTGCCATACCGAACATGGTTCGCCAAATGACTTCAGTTCTCCCTTCGGAATCCGTAATATATCTCGTTCGGCGAAACTCTCCCGAGTCCCACACGTACGTGGTCGCGGACGCATAAGAATGACGCCGGTAAATCTCTCGCCGAAACCAGAAATTCGCTATTGGATTTCAGTTTTCCCCGTTGTACAATACCGCGCGAGCGTCGTTCCTCTTTGCTACCTCGAGCATCGAGAATCGAATCGATCATAAGCGAGGAACGACGGTTCCCCCTTGAAATTGCTACTTTCGATAGTCGCTCCCGTAAACTACCTTCGATGCGCCCGATAAGATTAGAGTACGTTCGGAGTGCTTTTCCATCCGGAAAAGGACGTACCATTTTTACCATCGCGAAATGGTCACGTCGGGGACGAACGGGGGCGGGAAACTGCACGTGTCTCCTTTCCTCGTAAATGAACATTTATGAGATCCCATTCTGGGAGGGCACGCGTGATACTATATGAAATCATGGGGATCGGTAGTTTCTAGGATCCGCGAATCACCGGAGAAATGTATATCCTTGTCTTTGCTGGGCTCTTTTAGATATCCCTGTAGTATGTTTTCAACCCTACGTTCGACGGTGCTCCTCCATTTTCTTGGAAATATTGTTCAGCTCTGCTCGTAATTCATTGGATCACGGATAACCTTCTATGATTACTTTTCGAAGTATCAATCGAACATTATCGATGCGATATTTTCCGTTCGGATGACAGATTTTGCTCCGGGACTACTTACTAAATCTTGTATAATGGATGTACCACGGAATGTGATCATCTCAGATTATTCTTCTGCTAGCTGTTCGATCGTAAATTTTATCAGCTAGAATACCATGATTCAAAAAGAGCTTTCAGAGGATTGTACCAAATTGAAGGTACTCAAATGCTAGAGCTTTCAAAATTCTCCACAAAGTAACCATTCAGACACGTTTCTGACACAAGTGATCTGTATTTAAGGGTTAAACAGACGCTGATCCTTTCCCCCAGTACTCTTGAATCGCACGTAGCATTCTAAAACTCTCACAAGAACGGTCCAACCACTAATCGATTCCTCCCTGTTTCGTCTCGCCAGGTGGCGGTTCCCATGCCCATGCAGAAGACTTCCCTGAAGGCGACCCTCTCGGTGAACGGTGACGGTCAATCGAGCGTGCCGTCCCGTTGCCGTGCGCCCAGCGTCGGGATCGACGTCGACATGGTCTCCGAGTTCGATCCATCCTCATCGGACAGCGGCGTGGTGTCCAGATGCGCTGTGGTGAAGCCGTTGAAGTTGCGTCTCTGCCAGCCGATCTTCGGTCGTCGTCACTTGGGCAAACTACGAAAAGAGCACGGCGACGTTGGTCGTCCGTCGTCGAAAGAAGAGGCAGCGATCGAGGCGAAATCGTCGAAGTCACGTGACCCGGAGAGAGAGAAGAGGAGACTGGCGCGAAAGAAGGAGAAACGAGCAACTTTGATCCTCGGTTTCATAATGGGCAGCTTCATCGCCTGTTGGCTACCATTCTTCGTCCTCTACATCGTGAAACCGTTGTTCCCCGACGTGGACATACCCACTCAGGCATTCGTTATCGCCTTCTGGCTGGGCTACATGAACTCCGCTCTGAACCCGTTCATCTACACCGTTTTCAACAAGGACTTTCGACGCGCGTTCCGTAGGATACTGTTCAAATGAACCCGGCCGACGCGTCTACAGTCCTCGAATCCGTGATAGATTCTAGGGGTGTGGGAGGGGGGGGGGGGGAAGTTCGAACGGAAAAACCGAACGTACTAGGAAGTGGAATACGTGAACGTGAACACGATGAATCCAACACCTGGACGTCTTCTTAGAATATATAAACTCGACGAGACTCGAGTCGAAAGATCGAGTGTCTATACGCGTTCAATCGGAGGTGGTTTCCGGATGGCGAACGTTGTCGACCAATGGGGGGACGCGAAGAATTTACACGGGAAAGAAACGGGGATTCGATGAGTATACATCCTTCCGAACGGAACGGATGCGCGGAATCGATTCTCCTACACGCCAGAGAGAGAAAGAGAGAGATAGAGAGAGAGCTCGTCGTAACGAAACTCGACGGACGACGCTCATGAATCGTCTACGAGCCGTCCCGCACAGCTGTGTCACACGTGACGACAGCTGCCGTGGGGTTTCTCCGCGTTCGATCACGCGAAACTTTCGAGCGGTTGCCGATTCGAGGCGACATCCTCGAAGACAAATGGAATCTCGCGGTCGGGACACGTCGTCGATGGGAATCGAGGGAATTGCTGGGTCGTTAATTGTACAAGGGGCGGAAAAACGGGACACTTTCGTCGGGAATAGCGACGGAGAGCTATTCCGTCGTGTGGAGAATACTTCACCGTTCCTATACAGTAAACTCGCGATAATTACCCGCCTTTGGGTCTCTGGAGGCGCGCAGTTATCGAGACGGGTAATTATCGAGAGTGAATAGCATGCGAGATTTCCTCGCAGCTCGGTCGAATGGACGTCATCCGACCAATTATTGGCTACAGAAGGCGACAGATATACACGCTTAAGTAAAGGTTCCCATAGACTATACGATTTTTCGTCAGAGAAGTTACACAGGGGGGGCCAGAAACATTGCAACTGTCGTTCAGACGGTCGAAGTGACCTAGGTTGATAGTTGTACGATGAGAAGTTACACAGGGGGGGCCAGAAACATTGCAACTGTCGTTCAGACGGTCGAAGTGACCTAGATTGATAGTTGTACGACAAACGTATCGTCTATGGGTCGTTTAATGCGTCTGAGCAAGGCCCACGTCTGAAGGGTCTTTATCCAGCGACCAGTTATCGCTCTTCTCTCTCTCCCTTCTTCTGCGTGAGCCCCACCCCCCTCCCAACCCAAACAATCCCCTCCCTAACTTCTTCGTTACGCGTAGAAACGTAGCCGATGAGTGGCCGCGGCATTCTTCCTCCTCAGAGTTCCTCGGACAGATGGCGCGCGCGGTCCGATTGTACATTAAACGTCGCGACAATCCATTATTATCTGTGTGTGCGTACGTGATTGTAGATATGTATAGTGACGCGTGAACGGGCGTGTGACTTTGTGTGCGTGTGTGTACATAATACGTGGCATCGATCCGTGGAGTGTTCTATCCACGAGGACGAGACTTTCTCGGGACGGTGTGGTTTTGTTTCCGGGGAAAATTGCCGTGAAGAAGGCGAAGGAAGTTTCGGAATATTCTGCGGTAGTACGCGGGTGTCGGATCGCAAGTTTCGTCGTCGCGTGGGGCCCGCCTGGGATTGTATACGACAACAACGGCGCGGTGGAATAATGATTCCGGCAGGCACAGAGACGACCTCTGTGCTGTGGAGGTTTCGCGAGACGAAAACTTTCGGATACGGCTCGCGTACGACCTCGTGTGCTTGTAATAATGTGTATCGTGGTGCGATATTATATACGCACACTGGGGACAGAGATACACAAAGAACACGGTGCGACGAGCACCGTAGGAGGACGACGGATTAAAATGAAATTGCGTAAATCAGACGGATCATGTTTCCTATTAAATAGGCACCGTAACGTAGGGTCGACACCGTTCAATCGTGTTGCGTTTTAAATCACGATGCTTTTTCCACGACTCGATCGAGCGATGGGTATGACACGTAATACAGTAGACTCGCGGTAATTACACGCGATTCTGGGGCTCTAACGGCGGACAGTTCTAGGGAGTATTTATCGAGAGCCAATAGCATGTGGGATCTCCTTGTAACGAGGTCTAAGGACGTCCATCTGACCCATTATTGACCACAGAAGACGACAGAGAATTTGAGCACGGAGAAATTTTAATGAAGATTTATCCAGCGGGCAGTTATCCCGAGTCTACTTTCATAAGAGTATACAGGGTAAGTCAATAAGAACAACTGTCTAATATATAACTCATTATCTATTGGTTGGTATCAAAAAATATTTTAATGAATTGTGTAGCGTTTTAAGTGACGCATCGGATGGATATTATTTGATCCTTTTGTATCTTATTTCTTTTATATCTTAAGTCAGTGCATCTTTTTTTAAATTCCATGTCGTTTACAAACACGAATTCAACGACCTATAGCGTGATGAGCTTGAGTTGACTTTGACCCTCAAAATCGAACAAAATCTCAAAACGGTATTATAGTAATTTCGCTGCGCGTTTGTCGAAATCAATATGTAATAAGGTCAACTCAACGTCGTTATTCTATAGGTCGCTGAATTCGTCCTTCCATCGACAACAGCGTGGCATTAAAAGAAAGATGCATTGACCTAAAAAAAACTCAAGGTCATCCTTGATATCTAAAAAAGAAAGGGTTCCTTAAAATACCACATAATTCACTGAAACGTTTTCTGATACAGCCAATAGGTAACGTGTTATTTTGGATAGTACTTCACATTTACTCATCCTATATAATAACATGAAACCGTTGGGAGTTTCTCGAGTCGAACGAATAAAAAGCAGGTGCTCAGTGGGAGATTTCGAAGAGGATCACTTCAAGCGGGATTAATGAATGGAAAATATTTGATCCTCGATAGGTTGCGTTTACGGTCACCAGTGGGTTTTTAAACGAGCTTAACGCGACGAGTTTGAAGGTGAAACGAGTCAACCGTGTTTTGATGTCGCCACGCGTGAGAACGAGCACCAAGTGCACGGAACCCCGACCGCGGTTTCAATTATTACGCGGCGTTACCCAATGTTTGCCCGGCGAGGCACCAATTCGCGATCGGTCGCTTTATAATTCAACGCCTCCTCGACAAATCGTTCATCAGAGGCTTCACCGATCACCCTAAAACCAAACTGGTCCGCCCCTGAACTTGCTCACGCTGTCCCTTTGATCCAGCCAGTGCTCTCACACTTAATCGATTATCACGTGCGCGTCACCTTCCGCGCGAGCGTATCATACACGCTTCGAAATATGGGCCGAAAGTGGATTCACCAAGGTCAGTTGTGAGCCTCGAGTAATTTTTTTTTTTTTACTTATCCCCTGGGTAATTTACAATTTATTTTTTACAAACATTAGGTAAATTGTTCTGTCGTTTTGGTAGAGTTAGTATCTGAGTTTGAATAAGATTCCCTTTGGTACGATTCGTCAGGTTTTGCTTCTAAACAAACGACTAACTCGTGACCAAACCTGGGACAATTGTATTTGTAATGAAAATAAGAAATAACTGTTTGAAATAATTTATTTCCTTCACTTGGAAATAAAAGTATCACTGTTTAACTCGGTCAGGGTAACTTTGTTCCTAATCAGAAAATAATCATTACTGAATTTGCAACTCTGAGAATAGTTAAATTGACACTTTACTGGCGGGAGGGTTTTTCTGGTTGCAAATGTAGGTACAACTTGAGGTGTTCTAAAAATACATTATTTAAAAACCACTATTTAAGTTTTATTTGTCAAACTTTTCATGTAGGAAAAGCGATTGTTCCGTATTTTTTACTGTTCTGGTTCTTATTTAAAAAGGACGTATTACGTCATCCGACATCAAAGTGTTAAAGTGATTTCTACGTGAAAACACCTGCAAAAGAGCTACAAAATCAAACATGATGGTTGCTTCACTTTCGGACAAAGTTACCCTCGAGTCAAAATTACCCCAACTTACGGTACGTAAAATAATTAATGCTCTGAAATTTTCGCGGTACACCAACATCAAAGACACCTATCTGGAATTCCATTTACGAGAAAAGTATCCTTAAAAAGCGCACCTTAACGTCCAGTTTAAATTAATTAAAGAAGCAACTGAGGTTTCAGTTAAGTCGTTAATGAAATATAAATGCTTGCGCTGAGTGGACTAACTGCAACACGAACTTTAAAGTCGACCGGAACGACTGAACTGTGTCCTGTCGCACTGAATTCGAGATACAACAGTAAGAATGTTACAGTTGAATTGGAAAAAAAAGTAGGGACTTAAAGAAGATGCAATGGAAATTATTATCACTTAAAGTGAAATTTTAAACGAAAATTAGAAGCAAAACGTGACACCCTTTCAAATATGTACGTGTGTGTATGCCCTAAAATGTTGTCCAAACAAGAGGGAAACGTTGCTTGCGATTCGAGAGCGGAACGTGCATCGAAATGAATTTTGGAAAACAATTTCCTCGCCTCGATACTTTTTCATCGTCGTATTCAATCTGGCCTCTCCATAAACCAAATTGACGTTCATCCCCACAGCTCCGAATTCCCGAGGAATTCGAATAAAAAATTTCAACGGGTCTCTGCGCCCCGTCCTCCGACCGAAATCTCTGGTAGTTTTCGCGGAGGATTAGAGGACAACCTGAACCACGCACACATTTTTTTTCGGTTTCGGAACAGCGAGATTCTTCAATAGAACGATTTCTTTCTGAATTTTCCAATTCAACGGGAGTACTTGGATGGCTTCGATCGAGAATGTAAGAGGATTTTCCCCTTTTCTTCTCATTCGAATTTTTTTTTTTTTTGGAAACGTACGATTCGTTGAAGATTCGTTCAAGTATGAATATGCATCGTGGAAAGTGGATTGGACAAAATGAACCATTGTTACATATACAGACGCACGAAAGTACTTTACTGCAGGTATACATATATTCCCGATTGAAGTGCATACAAATTGTATAATACAGCAAATATTTTTGGGTGTACGATATGGATTTTTTGAGGGTATGATAGAGTATTGGAATATTACCGATTTCACCGCGAGGGGT